ACTGTTCGTGCTGCCGAACAGAGGGCTTCATTCTCCCTCGGCATCCTTGGGAAAATCCTCTGATCGACGGATCTCTATCCAAACCTCTGTAATCGTACGTTGTCATTGAAGGACGGTAAGGCGAATCAAACAATCTTTCCTCTGTGAACTCCTTCTGCCATGGTGACGTAGCCTTATGGTGACCAAACTCCATGGCTACATCTCTCCTCAACCTCTCTTGATATGGATCGAATGCCATGGCTTCCTTTCACCTGATTTGCTCACGATGTGGATCCAAATGAATAGATCCTTCCCGATCCTCCATGTGGCGAGCATTTGACGGTAAATCGCCTGGCCTGATCTCTTCGCGGTGAAGATCCACGTGATTGTTCCCTTCTTGCTCGCTTTGGTGAACAACATCGGGTTGCACAACTCTCTCTCCTACTAGAGGTGGTCGTGGAATCGCTAGAGCTTCTCGACGCTCCATTCCAGCTCGTAATTCTGCATTCTCTCTTCTCAGAGCTTCAACCATACTCATCAACTCATCAAGCTTCGTCTGCTGGCCATTCTCATGTGGATTAGAACTCTCACCTCCTATCATCGTTCCTGATCGGAGTTGAGTCATCAACCGTGAATTCCTGATCGGATCTGAACTCTGCTAATGCAAACGCACTAGATCTGGCCTCGAACCGGCTGAATTCTGATCTCCTTCAGCTAGATCTAAAGATTTTCTACTGTGAACTCGTCAAATCTATCTTTGCTAAATAGATCTCGATTATACAGATCTAACTCCAATCTCCAAAGGTCAATTAGAACCAAGACTCTACAAGATAGATCATGATCTTGCCAATCTGAATCCAACTTTCAAAGATCGAGCTTCTTCATCATGAATCAGTCTTAATTTAATCAATCTTGATTGAACACAAATTAATTTTCATTGATTTCCCACGGACGGCGCCACTAAAGATGCAAGAAATTTCTCTCTATGTTTTGACAGAATATCTTTACACTTCCAGAATTTTTCCCCCTTTTTTCCTCTCTTTCCAGTCTATTTATATACTGCTATCAATTTTCTAGAAGCTTCCTACCTAACTCTTTACGCTGGGCTGACCTTTTGGGCTTATCCTAATTTTGGGCCCATTCCCCTCCTCCATTCAATCGGGCCTTCAAACTGATCTCATGATCTTGAGCTTGACAGTGAAGGTTCAATTCGGATCAATGTCTCTCACCCGACCCGCTTCTAGCAATTTGGATCGTGCCCGGCCCAGGCTTCTTTGGTATCCTCAGCAACGGAAGTGTGTTTGAGGTTATTTAAGTATATTTGGGATAGTGAATGGACTATAGGTTTTTATATTGGATGATTGTTGATAATTTATTTGAATGGTTTTTTCTGAATCATGTTTTGTGATTGCCCCTAATTTCGGGTCGTTACATCGTCTATTCAAATCGATCTAAAGTTGATTCTTGGCTTTCTTCTCCTCTCAATTTCCTCCTTTTGTTTGATTTTTTTGTTTTAATCCTCTCAATTTTCGCCTTTTATTCTTTTTTATTTTTTTGTTTTAATCCTCTCAATTTCGTCCTTTTATTCGATTTTTTTGTTTTAATACTCCAACCCGTGCTTATTAATTTATAAATAAACCCCCTACAAATTTAGTTAATCCCATTGCAATGGTCAAACCAGATAATTGTAAATTTAATTGTAGTTAATCCATTGCAATGGTCAAACTAGAAAATTGTAAATTTAATTTTTTACTCATATATATATTTTGGAAGATATTATTGAAACAAAACAAAAGGTTAAGATTCTAAATTATAGGTATATGAGTAAAGTGTCCATTTATACCCTTAAGATATTATTGGAAAGATTATGATTATAGGTATGGGATAAAATTATAGGGCCGCAGTTATGGATATTCTTACTTTTTTTTAGGATAAAGTACACTGACACCCCCTGAAGTTTGGCAAAAGGACAGACAGATCAAAGTTATTCATTTTTTGAACAATGACATCCCCTCTTCTAAAATTTCATCCAAACAAAGCCTTAAGTCATATGAAAAGATAAAATTACCCCTCCATATTAAATTCAGATATATTACAAAATATCAGACCATGCAAAATGATACAAGAGCCCTTTATTCAATTTTTTCTCTTCTCTCTCTTCCCATCACACAATCTACGCCCCTCTCTCTCTATATCTGCTAACATATATATATAAATATACACAGACATATCTCCCTTGTCATCGATTCAATCCTTCTTTCTCTCTCTTCTTTTTCCACCATTAGGCCATTATACTCTCTCTCCAGTTTCTGGAACTCTTTCTTTCTTTCTTTCTTTGTTTTTTTTTTTTCACTATTTTGTTGGTATGCAGTTGTTAGTGGGGCGAATAAAGGGATTGGACTGGAGATATGTAGACAGTTGGCTTCTAATGGAATATTGGTGGTGCTCACAGCAAGAGACGAGAAGAAGGGTCTTGAAGCTCTTGAGAATTTCAAAGGGTTTGATCTCTTTGATCATGTGGTTTTTCATCAGCTTGATGTGGTAGACCCTTCTAGTATTCATTCCCTTGCTGAATTTGCCAAGAACCAGTTTGGAAAACTTGATATCTTGGTATAATTGAAACCCCATTCTCAATCTTTTTAATTTTTTACCAGTTTGATATAATTATGTCCATTTTTTAAATACCCATGCTTTACTCTTACAATCTTACCTAGAGTTCTTTTTTAAATTTGCCTGTTTGATAGAATTATGTACTACAAAATTGTTCTCTGTATTTCTGTACTTATAAATGAAAATATGGTATAAAAATTTAAGCATTCTATTGTTTTGTCAATTTAGAAATGATATTCATATGCTTATAGTGTTTTTTTTTTTTTTTTGAATTTCAATAAAATAATTTATTGTTTTATGCTGGTTTATTTTACTCTGCATGATCAAATCTCAATTTTTCTTAATAGTGATATTTATTAGTTAAATGGCTTCTATACTCGATCCATTGAATAGATATAACTACATGGATTAGTCAGTTTGAAAAAAAAACTTTTCTGATAGCAATTTATTGAAAGAGAGAGAACGAAGAAAGGACAGATGAGAGAGAGGAGAATTGGAGGAAGAAAAAAGAAAAAAAAAAATTGGGTTTAAGGGAGAGGCCGTGGATTGGTGGTGGGTTTGAGAGGGGATGATTGTGTGGGTGGCGGCGGCAATTGATGATTGGGATTGTACGGGTGATGGTGACGGCAGCAATTGGTGATGGGCTGGGATTAGGCGGGTTTTGGCCGCGACGGAAGCGATTATGTAGTGTATGTGTGCGTGTGTGTGTATATATATATATACAAAGAGAAAAGAATAAAGGTTTGGGCTTGGGTTTGGGTTTGGGTTTAATCCAAGGGCATTTAAAGTAATTAAAATATCAATTTTATATCAAAGGGTAATAAAGTCAATTCACCATTTTAAGGGGTCTCTTTGTCCATTTTTCAAACTTGAAGGGATATCTTTGTCTAAAAAATAGATAACTTTCATCTGTGTATGTTTATGTCAAACCTCATGGAGTGTGAGTGTACTTTACTTTTTTATTATTATTTCGTTTTGCACGGTTGCCAAAGACTTCCTACTATTGTTATGGTCACGTGTACTGCCACGACCATTTACATTTATTCAAAATTTTCTAAAAGAATCTCATTACATGTTTCGTTATAAAGCAGAGTGAAGAAAAAGTTTTTAAAGAGGTAAGACATTCGAAGACCACAAATGGTGTATAAAAGGTATTGCTTTGGCTGAGGACAATTTGAATAATAAGGATGTAATGGTATATATATATATATAGGCAAAGGAGGGAAGTTTGTGGAGGAATAATGAATATAATAGGGAAAAGATTCTCTTGTGAGGCCCATGCCCTACTGGCCACCGCAACCCATTTTTAGTCCGTACTCATTTTTTCAAGTCCGATTCGGGAAATTTTGATACCCCTTCGCGGTATAATGGTGCCAATGTAAAGCCGACCGGAGAAACCGTGACCTTTCTCCATTCGAGTTAAACATTTTAAATTTTAGGTTCTATTTGTTTAGACGTAAAATATTTTTTAAAAAATATTTTTTTATTTTTTGGTGTTTGATTGTCGTAAATATTTTACTAAAGAAAAAAATATTAAAATTTAACAAAAATATATTATTCATTAATTTTCGACAAGTTATTTTACATGCCTCGCCCAATGGATTGACCTTTGCCAAACACTATTAAAGTAAAAATAAAAGAATATTTTACCTGAAAAAAAAAAAAATTCCAAAAAAAATATTTTCAAAACGAACAGCGCATTAATACCTTTCTCCGTTCGAGATACACATTTTGAATTATAATTTGAAATGTGTTTCACTGCTCCCAACAAAAAAGAAATAAATTAATTAATTAAAAATCTTAAGGCTACAGCAAAAAACACAATGCAACTAAAGTTTCAATTTTACGGGAGTAGTAACAAGCAAGCAAAACTCCATCAGCTGATAGAGATGTATTCAAGAATAATCTATATACATGCACATAACCTAACAAGTGTTGTATGATTCATGTAGTTCCTCAACCATGCATCAATCCGTCACTTTCTACACCAGCTAAAAGGGCCCTCCTCCCCGGTACACAAGACACAAAAGAAACCGCCTGCTCAAATCATGTTGGTGCAAATCAATTTCAGAGATCATGACAAACTAATGAGGTCTTTAAGTTATCTCTAATTCCCGCTATATTTCACTTTGTACTAGAAATCTATACATATATCATAGAAGAGCTGTGATACACCATTTATGTGAGAGGAGGGAATCAAGTTGTGAGGTCAACCATTGTAATGATATCATCCATCGCTCACATAAAACAATTGAATTAGTCAGACTGTCAACTATAACAGGGACACACTGAATAATGAATGCCCTCTTTCCGGGGCAAGAGAGGGTCATTTGCAAGACATTAGCCACCCCAGGCATTAGGGGCACAAAGAACATAAGCGGTTACAAAATGCTAATTAATAGTGTGTTTCATTTTCAAGAGAAATGTATATATCTTATAGAATCATGTATATTAGTTTGGATCGATCCACATAAGGAATAAGCAAGCAACAAACATCATATGAAGGGGACAAAAATGAACCAACCAAAACTTCAACCAAAATCAACTTCAAAACCTTGAGAAGTTTTTGCCAAATTGCTCTGGTACGGCCTATGAAAAGGCATAATATTTTGGCGTTGCCGTTGAAGCTGCAAGAGTTGAGCTGTTGTAACCACTGCTATCAGAAAATGATAGCATTGTTCTCTCCAGTGTGCCCATTGTGTCGCAAGACTTCTGCTAGTGATGCATAAGAAACAGGACTAAGCCAGCTTAAGACATGGGATATGTCACTACATCCAATTCCGTGGTTGTCATCTGAATCTTCAAGGCCTAAGACCATCCTCTCATCGAGGGCGTTGCCAGCAGCCATAGCCATTGACACAGTGAGAGAAGAAAGTAAGATATCACTGTTTGAGCTAACAGAGAGCATGTTTTTGTTGCCGTTGTTGTAAATGCTAGCGTCATCATATGACCAATCATCAATGATGCGTTTTAGGGCCTCCATTTGGGCCGCCTCCTCTGAGGCCACAGGTTCAGGGTTGAGAAACAAAGGGCTATCAATATTTTGGTGATGAGATTTATAAGACGCCAAATTCAGAGGCTCATTCCTATAGAGTTGCTGGAAAATGTTATCAATCAAGGCTACCCTTGTCAATGGTGTATTGATCGACATGAAATGCTGCCATTGTTGCTCAGATGTATCCCTTCAATATCCGAATACAAATCAGTAAATCAAGCAAACAAAAATACCCGAATCAGTAATCGAGCAAACAAAACTACCCAAATCAGTAAATCAATCAAACAGAACTCTATTGGTAGAAGTAAAAGAAAAAAACAAGTGGCCCACCTGCTGCTATGTTTCTTGTAAGAGGAATCAGAGACACGTTCTTCAGTATTGCTATCAAGTGCTAAAACAGGGGTCTCGTTTGGTTGTATGGTGGGTCCAAGAAGTTGAGGTGAAGAAATGTTGGTATCAAAAGAGGGGTGCTGCTTAGAAAAAGGCACCGGAGTTGTGGCAAGAAAAGGGTGGTGATCAATGCGGGCCTTCTTGTTGTTGTTGTTGTTGGTGGTGGTGGTGGTGGTGACATTGTTATTGGTGGTGAAAGGGGCATGAACTTCCACAGGCTTTTCTGAATGTCGACCGCATAGGGACATATGATGCTCACAGTACTGCTGATGTGGAGCCACATCTCTTGAGCATCTCCATTTCTCCCCATCTGTTCTAGTACACCTCTTTCGTTTTAAATGCTTGATCAAATTCAGTGGCGATGTTGAGCCATCACGGTTCACTGTCCACCAAAAGTAATTAAAAAAAAAAATCACAGGGTAAAAATTAATTAAAAACCCATCATGAAATAAGAGCAGGTATTGATTGTAAGAAAAGAAAATAAAATAAAATAATTTAAAATTAAATGAAAAAAAGTACAGGGTCCTTACAGAAAGAGTGGGAGTCTGGAGAGAGATTGTGGGTAGGTGAGAGGAGATGAGGAGGCACAGGTACAGATTCCATCATATATTTGTATATCATTGCTTGTGTCTTGAGTTCCTTCCACTGTGACAATGTAAAAGGACATCCGAAAGTTGTTGCCATCTCTCCTGCTACAAATAATATCACATCTTTATAAGACTCCGAGCTCTGTCTCTCTTTTTCATTTTTTTTCTTCACTCAAATTCCATTATCTTTCACTTGCACAAACCCATATGAATTCTCACTCACAGTTACAAAGAAAGACTGATCTATGAATAAATAATACACACATATATACAAAGAAAGACTGTAACCCACATCAAAAATTGGAACTATTCAACTATACATAATATTAGGTTTATATAACAGGTGGGAATAATAAATTAAATTCGATAAAATCATTTCATAACTGTTTGGGACTATGTATATGGAAGAAGAACTCAAATAACTTACCAGGGAATTTGAATTTGAAGGCGGTGTGGTTGTTGGAAAACACAATAGCTGTAGTGATGGTATGGTCAAAAAGCTGCAGATTCCTTGCAGAGGAAACACACACACATATATATATATGTATATATATCATAGAAGTGCCTTCCTCATTGGTTGGGACCCCACCAACCCATTGTGCTTGGTGGATGTGTAATATCTCTCCTGTTTTTGAAAATATTTATCCGTTTTCAAATCACCTAATATATATATATATATATTTTTGGCAGGCATCAGTAATTCACTTAGGCAGATTTCTTTGAATTTATCCTAAACTACAAATTGAAAATACTGTCAAATCCCACGACTCAATAATAACTTCAGTCGAGAGTTATAGAGTTTGAACATGGGATATGAATGTTCTACATATATATATTTTTAACTATTAAAAGTGGAACATGTCATAATTAATTTTAATAATGAAAAAATTATTAGTTAATAAGGACCACATGGTTCCCACCAATGTCCTAATAATTTCTCATTTAATTTGAGATGATGACAATGGACTGTGTTGATTTTTTATGATGCCTATCATAAAATTACTTTAGGTCTCATGTTAAGGTACTATATTTAATAATTTTGTTAAATTTATAAGATTGTAGTAATACATTTAAGAAATATCCTTATAGGTTTTTATAAGTCTCACTTAATACATTGAATGCACTTGATTAAAGGAGGACAATAAATTGAATTTTACTTTATTAAATTGTAAGTAAAATACATTTAATCTTTGATTAGTTAAATATATTTTTAATTGATTAGATGATACAATAGTCTTTAATTTATTAAGAAAAATGATATTTATGCTGATGGATTTATTACATAGTAAGTATAATACATAGAATTTTTAGTTGGTTAATTGTATCTTTAATTGATTAGATAAGTCATGAGTACCATTGATAAAATGAGTACAATCTTTAAGACTATTGAGAAATTAAATATTTTGAAAAAAATAAATAATGTACATAAAATATCTTGTTAAATTAATAACTTTAATTATCGATAAATTAATATCTCGCTTAATTTATAGAATTTATGAGATCCCAACACCATTAATTTATGGGTAAATTACACATGGGTGCCTTACCTTCCCTAAAGTTTGGATAAATTTCACAAGTAGAGTGTTTGAGATTTATTACTCTAACTTCGCTTAAAATTATAAAAAGTTAATTATACCATTATATGTAATATATTTTTATAATACAAAATATATTATAAAATCAAAAATCAAAAATTAATTTTTTTTTATCTCACCTCTCTCATTACTTTCTTTCTCCTCCCCACCACCATTATCCCTTTCTACAAAAATAAAAAAATAAAGAATTGCAAATATATATAAAAAAAATAAGTATAAGGGTAACTTGGTCATTTTATAATTTTTTTTTTTTTAACAAGTTTTGATGGAAAGGAGGGTTGTCGAGCATACACCCAACCCTCAAAAAAGATTAAAGCAATAAATATGAAACGCTCTGCTGACACGAAATTTGTCCAAATCTCATTAAAAATTAGTGTAATTTACCCTTAAGTTATAGTGGTATACTGTACAATGAATTTCAATTTAAATTCTAAACCATGACAGCAGCTTTCGAGAGGTGATGATGTCGCCTGGTGGTAAACACCAAACCACTCGCTACTATTTGTACCCTTTTTCTTCTCTGAAAAAAATAAAAAATAAAATAAAATAAAATTGCACACCCTTTTGATTCTCAAAAATACCACTTTTTCCTTAATTGGACACTATCTGGTGACATTTCCTCCAACTCTTAGGGTCGGTTTAGTTTGACGTAAATTTTTGATAAAAAGTGAAAGGAAAAAAAAGTGAAGTGAAAGTGAAAAAAAGTGAAGTGAAAAAAAAAAAAAAAAAAAAAATTAAGTTTTTAGCACACATTTAGTTAGAAAGAAATTTTTACAAGAAATGTGAAAATATTATTTTATTAGTTTGGAAAGCATGGAATAGAAAATAAAATGATTGTACTTACCAAAATTATCCTTGTGATTTTAAATACTAAAAATAAAATTGTGTTACTCCCCTTACCCAATTATTTATATTCATTTTTAAAAACAAAATAAATAAATAATGATAAAATATTAAATTATTAAGAATTATAATATAATTATTTATATTAAATTTTAAATTATTTATATGTGAGAAAATTTTTGGTACTTAATTTTGGAGGCTTACCTCAAAAATACATGGTAACACAAATATTTGAAAAGTTACGTGACAAATTTATTTCCATAATTAGTGGTCTAAGTTGTTGTCATATACAAATATATTAAAAGTCTATAAAGAGTCACAACTTTCACGAGAAACTGAAATTTTCTTAAGTCAGTTTGGTTAAATAGAAATTTTTAATGAAAAGTGAAAGTGAAAGAAAGTAAAAAAAAGGAAAAGAAAATCAAGTTTCTATTATGTATTTGGTTAGGAAGAAAAAATTTCAAGAAAGTTGTGAAAAAATATTATTTTGTGAGTTTGGAAAGAATGAAAGTGAAAAGAAAGTGATTGTAGTTCCCAAAACTACCCTTTTAATTATAAGATTACTTTGTACTCTTTTGAGATACTATTATATCTCCAGAATTATTAATAAAATTAAAATTTTAAGTTCAAAGATAAATTAATGGATATTGTAGTATTTGTCTTCTGATGTTTAATAATTAGATATATGTGATTATAGAGGTACAAGTTTAATTAATAAAAAAATTTGATCAGAAATATCTTGAGGATAAAAGGTTGAAGTTAATATATATACTTTTTAATCAAAAAAAAAATAATAATAAAAAATAAAAAAAAAAAACCCTTCAGTCTAATAGAAATAAAATACTTATAACTAAATTAGTTTGGTACATATAATATATGTAGCGTTAAAACTAAATTAATTTGGTATATCTAATATACGTAGAGTTAAAATTAAATGAGTTTGGTATATTTTAGTAGTTGAGTTCGAAAGTCAAGAGAAATCTATGTATAAATATATATATATATATATATATATATATATATATATATATCACTCTCAATCATTATTAATTGTGGAAGGAAAAAAATAAAATAAAATAAATTTTTAATTTTGATATAAAATTATATACAATTAAATTAGTATTTACATGATCTTATAAGCAATTTACAAAAGAATGAAACTCACTTGTTATAAAAGTTTGTAGAGAAAGTGAGGAGGGTGACATGGGCATAATAGGAAACTAAGATGTGAAGAAACCATTTTCACGTGAAAGTAAAATTTCCTTGTGTTTTATGCCAGAAAATTTTTGAGGAAAATTAAACAGTTGCAAGAAAATTACTTTCTTGAAAATTTTCTCTTCTACGCTAACTAAACTCCTAAAAAAGTTAAATATATATATATATATATATATTTTTTTCTTTCTATTTACTTCATGCTAACCAAACAAATTTTCTCTTTTACGCTAACTAAACTCCTAAAAAAGTTAAATATTTTCATTTTTTTTTGTCTTTCTATTTACTTCATGCTAACCAAACAAACTCTGTGTTTTATGTAAGAAACATTTTGAGGAAAATCAACAACTTGCGGGAAAATTACTTTCTTCAAAATTTTTACTTTCCTCCTAACCAAACTCTTAAAAAAATTAAAAAATTTCATTTTCTTTTCCTTTCCTGCTACTCCGTCTAACCAAACACACCCTTGGATACCTAAGAAGTGCGTATGGGTGGTATAAGACATTGAGACACTTTCTAGATATGCATATATGAGTTATACAACTAAAAATATTTGTTTTCTGGTTGAATACGGCATTAACACAACAAGAATGCTTTGGACACTTTGAATATGGCCGGATGATTTTATAATTTTTTTTCAAGAAAATAAATTTTTTTCAAGAAAAATTTTTTTATAGTATTTAAAAAAAAAAAAGAATTCAATGCAATAAAAAATATATTAACAAAAATAACAAACATTTAGTTTTAAATTCAAAATTAGTGATCTATTAATATAAAAGGGCAAAAAATATATAATATATATATATAAATATATATTATATTATTTTTTTGGAGTGTGTACTCGTGTCCTATTTTTTTATCTTAGATTTGCTTCGTATCATAATTTAATACTCCCATTATCCTACAATAAATGTTTCTTTTTGAGAATTTAACTTTTTAAGAAGATGAATGTATATACATTTTTATTGTATTGATAATGAATAAATTATCAAATTTATACATATTGAATGAGTAAAAATAAAAACAGCCAAAAAATAAAAAATAAAAGTAAATATTTATTTTTGGGACGGAGGGATAATGATATTATTAAGAAACACAAGTATTGTTTAACTTGGGATAGTGGACACAAATTCAGGATTTACTCAAACAATAAGGCTTGAGAGTTGAAACTACAAAGGCCATATTCTTTTGTTACATTTTAATTTATCAATTCTTTTAAGAGTAATGTTTAAATCTGACATCATTTTAAAAGTTTTTACAAAACTACCTAAGACAACTATTTTAGTAGATTTACGAAGAAATAGCATGTTTGAGTTAGATTTAAGTCAAAAAGAAAAAAAATTACAAAAGAGTCCATTTAAGTTAGGACTGCGGTTCGAAAGCGAGACATTTACCTTCCGAATCTCTACCAACACCATTATGCCTATGTGGGCAAAAAATATTTTATACTCACTATTCTCTGTCCCAAAATACATGTTCTGCTTGAAAAATTCAACCTTTTATAGTAGTGGAATTTTAATACGGAATAATTTTTTATTGTATTGATAAGAGAAAAGTTTCAAAGATGCTCTTGTTAAAAGACAAAATAGTGTTTAATAATTAGTACACTTAGTTAAAAGGATAGTTTTGGAATGATACATTCAATTTTGGAATGTGATACTACATGTTTTTTTGGGGAAATTCTAAAATAAAAAGATGGATGAGTATTTGAGGTTGGAAAGTGTATTTACTTCCAACTTTGAAAGTCAAATTCAAATTTTAAACTTAGCCCCGGGACCATAATTTCTCACATTTGCAACCTATGGTGCTGGAGTTGCCGTTGCAGTTGCAGAAGTGATAAGAATGAGGCAGAGGTCCA